CATGTGGCCATGACCACATCAGTGGGGCAGGAATATACACTACGCACAGTGGGAGGGGTGCAAGTATTTGCTGAACAATAATCCCAACTATCACACAACTATAAAAAACTATCATATTTATTTAAAACAACTACAAAAATACTTTTATGTTATCATTCAAAATAAAAATACATTTGTATTACAGTTTATAGTTTTTTTAAAAAGATATTTTTATTGATTTCAGAGAGGAAGGGAGAGGGACAGAGACTTAGAAACATCAATGATAGGAGAGAATCATTGATGGCTGCCTCCCGCACAACCCACATGGGGGATTGAGCCCACAACCTGGACATGTGCCCTGACCAGGAACTGAACCATGACTTCCTGGTTCATAGGTCAACACTCAGCTGGCTGGGCTTGCATTTTATCATTTTAAAAACATCTTTGTACCATTCCCTTAAGTATTTTCCCCAATAGCCCAGTGCCATGGTGGGGAAGGCAGCATCCCCATTTTGAAAATGGTTGTGTGGGCTTTATAACTCCTAGGAAGAAACTCTGATTCTGCTACCTTTATTAAGATAGCATAGGTTATGTGGGCTGGCCTGGTTATTTGGGAACATTTGAGGAAGTTGGGGATAACACAGAGATTCAGAGCTTTTTTTTAAATCCTCACCCAAGGATTTTTTTCCATTGATTTTTTTTTTTAAGATGGAGAGAGAGAGAGAGAGAGAGAGAGAGAGAGAGAGAGAGAGAGAGAGAGAGAGAGAGAGAGATATGATATGATATGTGTGTAAGAGAGAAATGATGTGAGAGAGGCACATCGATTGGTTGCCTCCTGAACGTGCCTGGACAAGGGCCAGGGATGAAGCCTGCAACTGAGGTACGTGTCCTTGATCAGGAATTGACCCTTTAACCCTTTGGTCCGCTAGATGACATTCTAACCACTGAGAAAACTGGTCAGGGCTCCAGGGCTCCTTTGTAAACATTTCATCAGACCTCCATCCTCAAACCTAGTTCCTGGAATACTCTATTGCAGCACTGGCTCCCTGACCTTCCACAGCATTGCCTGGAAGTGTCCTTGCTCTCTCTTTCCTGATAGCCATAGTGGGCACGAGTGGGATGTTCTTTACCAGTCCAAACCAGGTACCCCATCTCCAACACTTGTGCCTATGTGCAGAGCCCTACTCTTTACACACACACACACACACACACACTCCTATATATAGTTTCTACAAATTAATTATTTTTTTGCAGAGAGGAAGGGAGAGAGATAGAGAGCTAGAAACGTCGATGAGAGAGAAACATCGACCAGCTGCCTCCTGCACACTCCCTACCGGGGATGTGCCTGCAACCAATGTACATGCCCTTGACTGGAATCGAACCTGGGACCCTTCAGTACAAGTTATTTATTTTTTTTTTTTGCAACCTCACTTGCCTTCCTGTCCTGGGCCCTGTTCCGGTCACTAAGGCTCCGAATCACAATGTGGGCTGTGAACCCTCCCTCCCTTGAGACTCTGGGCTCTTCTCAAATGATGGTGCCTCCTCCGCAGGGCACACTTTTGCATCCCAGGGATCTCAAGGAGCAGCCAAAGGCCTTCCCCCCTCACCTTTCACTGGCAGAAGAATAGAACTTCTGGTTTTTATTAGCAAAAAACTGAATCAGGTACGATTTGACATCATCATCATTATTGAAATTTTTACCATTCAAGGAGTTTTGTAAAGATCGAAACAAAAAGTAATCAGATGGTGCAAGGTCAGGACTATATGGTGGATGTGGCAAAACATCCCAACCAAGCTCCATTAATTTTTGCCGAGTGACCAAAGATGTGTGTGGCCTTGCATTGTCATGATGGAATACAACACCTTTTCGATTTGTCAATTTGGGCCGCTTTTCTTCAACTGCATTGTTTAATTTCATTAGTTGTTCAATGTAGACATCAGAATTGATCGTTCGGTTGGGTGGTAAGAGTTCAAAGTAGACAATTCCTTTGTAATCCCACCAAACTGATAACAAAACCTTCTTTTGATGAATATCAGCTTTTGATATTGTTTGAGTTGGTTCACCTGGCCTGCTCCACGATCTTTTCCGCTTGATATTGTTGTAAACAACCCATTTTTCATCGCCAGTTATCAGTCGTTTTAAAAATGGATCATTTTCATTACGTTTCTTTAGCAAATCGCAGCTGCTAATGAGTTGCGTTAACTGTGATTCTTTCAGTTCGTGAGGAACCCATGTATCGAGTTTTTGAACATAGCCAAGTTGTTTTAAGTGATTTTCAATGCATGTATGTGATACATGAAGCTTCTCTGCAATCTCACGTGTTGTACTGTGACAGTCCGAATTGATTATTGCTTTGATTAGGGCGTCATCAACTTCAACTGGACAACCAGAGCGTTTTTCATCTTTGAGTGAAAAATCACCAGAACGAAATTTGGCAAACCAATTTTGACACTGCCGTTCTTTTAAGGCTTCGTCACCATAAACAGCACATAACTTTTTATGAGCTTGCGATGCGTTTTTCCCTTTGTGGAAATAAAAAATCAAAATATGACGAAAATGTTCCTTTTGATTTTCCATTTTTCAACGAACGCCAAACGAAAACTACAAAACAGATCAAAAAACTTTTTTTACTGATTAACAGCTGAATAGCCAACTATCAAATAACAAAATGTGTTTTACATTTTTACTACGTCTGCAAACCTAAAAATTCAACTGAAGCCATATATGTGTGAAACCCGCAATTACTTACTTGCCGACCCAATAATATCCTAAGTTTCCAGTCAACATTCATCATTCGAAGATCCCCTGAAGGAAAGTGGTTCTCGGATTTTCCCTCTTTGACAACTGAAGAAACTGAGGCACAAAGGGGAATCATGGGTCTTCAAGGTCACAGAGGAAGGAAGGCTTAGTGAAAAGAATCTTCCCACAGTTGTTAGTGGGGAGCATTAGTGAGCCTACAGATAAACCTTTAATTGCCATTATTTTTGTGTGTTTTAATTCATAGGGGCCCTTCTGAGGTAACTGAGTTGTGATGTGTCATGGGATATGTGGGCAAATGTGGGGAAACTTTTTCTAAATCACCTAATCTGGCATTATCCTGAGTGGCTCCCATGGAACTCTGGGCTCATGGTGGCTTACTAGATCCTGTCCTTCATGCAGCAAGAAGGGTTTGCTTTAAGGAAGTCTGAGAACCTATCATCCCAAGGACAGAGGGACTTCAGGGTCCACACAGGCATTGGTGAGGACAGAGAATGAGAGCAGGCTGGTGTTCTGTCTCTCCTGACAGCACTCAGTGTTTCCACAGCTCCGGTGAGTTCCAGGTGTTGAGAGAGGGGATGGGGACACTTCAACACAAGAAAAGGCCAGGTGCTGTCATTTAGTTTTTCCATCCATGATTTCCAGGGCTCAAAAGCCCCTGGAGGCAGGAAGCTTAAAGAGAAAAGAGGGTGAAATAGCAAAGAGGAATGCTCCCTCCCTCTCTGGCCTTTCTCCAGAGTTTCGGGGTGGAAGAGGAATAGGGGGAACATGAAAATCACAACTGTGTGGGAAAATAATGAAAATGAACGAGATGTTAAATGTACTGAAGTGAAAAAGAACTTATAATTTAAAAAGCTTTTAATGATTTATTTAAAAAAATATTTTTATTGTTTTCACAGAAAGGAGAGGGAGAGATAGATAGGAACGTCAATGATGGGAAAGAATCATGGATCAGCTGCCTCCTGCATGCCCCACACTGGGGATTGAGCCCACAACTTGTGCCCTGACCGGGAATTGAACTGTGACTTCCCGGTCCATAGGTTGGCGATCAACCCCAATTGAACCACTCTGGCAGGGCAAGATTTTAATGATTTTAGAAAAATAAATATTGCCAGATGTCTTGGCTTCTAGTGCCTACAAATAAAAGATGAGTTTTCAAATGAAAGACTCATTAGCTTCCCTTTTTGACCTTGGGATTGAAAACCAAACTTGCCCAGAATCATAAATAAAATACTCTCTAGGGAACTCACTTTTCTGGCTTCCAGACCTTTCTGATCCACCTCCCATTAACTTTGGGGTCAGCCAATCCCCAACACCCAGTGCTTTCTCCTACCAGTGAGGGCCCTGGGGACTGACTCAGAGGAAGCCGGCATGGGGGCTGGGGCTGGGTGCAGGCATTTCAAGGCTGAGCAGTGCTGGGAATGGAAGGGTAGGGTTCCTGGTTTACACTTAGTGGTTTTGGGAGTTAAGCAAACCTGGATTTGAATCAGTTTTACTGCTTGGCAGAAGTCACTGTGGACTGATGAACTGGTGGTTTTCCTTGGGTAAAGTTACTTCACTGTTATTGTTTTTTTTCAATTATAGTTAGCATTCAATATTACCTGTTTCAGGTATAGTGGTTAGACATTTATATAACTTATGAAGGAACCTGCTCCCTCATAAGTCTAGTACCCCCCACCCCCACACACACATGATACAACTGTTATATTATTGACTATATTCCCTGTGCTGTACATTCCCATGACTATTTTGTTCCTGCCAATTTGTACTTCTTAGTTCCTTTACCTTTTCCCTCACTGTACCCCACTCCACCCCCAACCTGGCTGAGCCTGTGTTCTCCTTTGTGAAATAAGAAGGCAAACTGTTCCTGCCCCCTATGGCTTGATGTGAGAAGTTGCATGAAGAGGCCCATGGGCCATATGAACCATCTATTAATGCATCAAAGAAATGCCCTTGACATTTGGTCATCCAATCAGAGGCCCTCTGATGCTCCCCTGCCTCTGGGTATTTCCTTGCTCTCTGGTGCTGTTTCCAAGAGGCAGAGCCAGAACGAAAGAGCCCGGGACATGTCAGATCTGGTGAAGGTCAATGAGAATGGAGTTGAAGCCAACGGATTTCGAAGTCAGTCCCACTGGGGGGAACGAGCTCAAATCTCAGAATTGTGAGGAGAATCACGTTAAACCTGAAAGTTGCACTCCTTTTTCGTAACAGAGAAAAATATTTGTTAGAGACAGCAGACTGGAGAGAACACATGAGACCATACTCAAATCCATATAAACCATTTAATTAGAAAAGTCATAAAAACAAGGGCAGATTTCCCAATGTAGTGTAGATAAGAAAGCAAACGGAGTTGAAAGGCACACATTAATTTAACGTTTTGTCATAAGCAGTCAGATGACGTTTTGTGCCCAAAGCGGGGGGGGGGGATGTCCTCTTTGGAATAGCAGCAGCATTTAAGGTTTTCATGTCACACTTGGTTATTCCTTTAGGATGTGGCTGTGTAATCGTGGGAGAAATGTTCCCCGAAAGTTTGGTTGAAACAGGTTCTTTCAGCGTTTCCATGGCAATGTCTGACAAGCCTGGGGAGCTAAGGAAGAGGGCTGTACTGCAGGTCTGGCCTTGGTAAGTGAGGCAGAGCTGCCCTGGGCTGCAGGCAGGTGACATGTCACATCAAGGAGCATTCTTTTCTTTTTATTTTTTTTGTTAATCCTCTCCCGAGGTTATTTTTTCCATTGACTGTCAGAGAGAGAGAGTGGAAGGCAGGGGGAGGCACAGAGAAACATCAACGTGAGAGAGACACATCGACTGCTTGCCTGCCACATGTGTCCCAACCTTGGCCAGGGGTTGAGCCTGCAACCAAGGTACGTGCCCTTGTCGGAATTCAAACGCGAGACCCTTCAGTCTGCAGGCTGACACTCCATCCACTGAGCCAAACCGGCCAGGGCAAGGAGCATTCTCTTAATGTAGGGCCCACCATCATCTTAAAGACCTCTCTAAGTTCTAAAATAATAGAGCCCAGGACTCTCCAGAAATGACCTACACCAAGCGTAACACAGCACGCGTTTGTATAGAAAACATTTCAAATGAAGTTCTTTTTAAGCACCTAAGCCACCTCGGAGCTTTGCAGGCAGCCCTCAGAGATGAGAAAGAAGCTGCTTGGCAGGAGATGGCCCCAGAGCAGAAGCCTTCAGATGGTGCTCATTCCCGTTCCTCTCTAAAGAGAGGCTGAATTTCCAGTGACAGGACTGGTGTTCCCTATCCAAGGCTGTCTCACTGTGGCTCCTGGAATCCTGTACATCTCTTTTCAAATGGCTGTAGTGGCATCCTGCTGCCATGGCTCAGTGGTTGAGCATTGACCTATGAACCAGGAGGTCCGTGGTTCCATTCCAGGTCAGGGCATATGCCTGGGTTGCGGGCTAGGTCTCATCATTGATGTTTCTATCTCTACCTTCCTCTCTGAAAATAATAATAAAAAAAGGTTGTGCTGGGAAATACAGCAATAGCTGGCTGATATATTCTGGTATCTGAACTCTGGCCAGGCCCTCTGGAGTGAGCATCTTAGCGAATTTCAAAATGGAAACGGAGCCTCTGCCTTCTGTTGGCAACCCAAGTCCTTTGTGTGACTGAAGAACGTTACAGAAAACTAATAAAATACTACCTGATATTTCCCTCTCCCCTTGGTATTGCTTTTTACCTTCTCAAAACCCACTTCTCCCAGTGCTGACAAACCAAACCAGAAAATGACAACTGAGGCAGCTGTTAATGGGCCTACACTCATTTCTTAAGGAGAGAGAAAAGAAGTCTATAATTGGCTTTTGATTTAAGAAAGCCACGGCCCTTAAGGGGAAAGGCCAGAGTCATACAAACAGACACCAAATCCAGGAGGACACTGTGAATGACAAGGGCAAGGCTCCCCTGCCCCCAAGACCAGAAAAGCTGTGCAGGTGGAAGCCAGTGGCCAGGCCTGTGTCCCGCCCTTCTCTGTGACCAGGTGTGTGGGGACCTCACTGGAAGCCCGAATGTGGGGAGGTGGCTTATGAACAGAGAGATTTGGGCCTGTCTTCCTGAGCCTCAACCCAGAGTAGAAGCAGTGGGGACATGGGGCCGAGTTGAGGAATAGGTTCCCTGTACCCGTCACCCATGTCATCAAGGACATAGAGGTGGTCGAGGGAGCCTTAGATTGGAATGGGACTTGTGGGACACAGCAGTAATCTGAGAGGACCAATGTCCAAACCAGATGGGTCAGTGGTCACCTTGGCAGAAGTCACTGTGGACTGAGGGCCACTATTTTGACCCCTTGTCACCAACTGGTATCAGAAATCCTACTCCCATCCCCCATCCCCTCCATGCCTTGACCTTCATGGAAAATGTGTATGTGTGGATTTCCTCCACCCCAAGATGGGAGCTAAAAGCAGGACGACCTATTTCCTTTCACACCTGAGTTTGTGGGATAGATTTGCTCTTGCTACACGTGCTTTTAAAGTTTGCTTTCTACCCTGACTTAGCGATGGAGCAGATAAGCACAGGAACAACTTCTGGCCACTCACTTGCAGGTTCTGTAAGGCACAGAGCTGAAGCTATAGGCTGGGCCTTAGAGTAATCTTAGATTGCTACCCTTTCTCTCACCCTCCCATTTTACAGAAAAGGCAACTGAGGCTCCTCCCACTGCTCATAGCACAGGGCAAAGCAAGCAAAGTTGGGGGGTGGGGTGGTGCTAGGCACTGTGTTTGAAACGAGGTCAGGATCTGAGTGACTGGTGGTGAATAGACGTTGTCTGTCAGTCTGGAATCTATACACAGTGCAAGCCACGGATCCCACCGTCCGGGGAGGACCGCCTTTGGCTCGCCCTCGGTGTGTATGCACAGCAGGCCGGCTTTGCTTCATTCCTGACCGCCGGTCAACTTGTGGAACAGGTCCTCGTCTAGTGTTTCATTCTGGCCCTTGGAGCGGGTGGACAGGAAAATGTAGCCACCGATGTATTCGTGCACCACCTTGCAATCTGCACTCAGGCAGGTGAACGCAATGGAGACGTTCTGGTCAAACTCGATCGCCACCTGGAAGAGAAAGCACAGGGAAGCTTAACCTCTGACAAGGAAAGATGAGAAAGAAGCTGCTTTGCAGGAGATGGCCCCAGAGCAGAAGCCTACTGAGATAGCTGATAGATGGATTTCTCCCAAAAGCCTACAAAAAAACCACTTCCCCTTACAGAAAACATCCTTGCTCTCTGCGCCCTCTTGTGGTGTCAACTTTTGCTGTGAACCTGGCAAAACACTTCTTTTTTTTTTTTTTTTTTAATGTTTTTATTTATTTCAGAGAGGAAAAGAGAGGGAGAGATAGAAACATCAATGATGAGAGAGAATCGTTGATCAGCTTCCCTCCCTTTTACTGGGGATCAAGCCCACAACCTGAGCACATATGGCCTTAACTGGAATTGAACCCGGGACCCTTCAGTCCGCAGGCCAATGCTCTATCCACAGGGCAAAACCAGGTAGGGTGCAAAACACTCTAACTCTCAACACACACACATACTTTCTGTCTGTCTCTTGTTTAGATGTAGGACTTTCTAAGCACGCCTGATGTCAAAGGGAAGGTATTTTACAGACGTTTTAATGGAGAGTAAAAGGTCCACCTGAAATTTCCTCCAGCCCCTGGCCCTCACCCGTTCCCCGCTGAAAATCATAAACTCTTAGCACTAGAACAGCAGTCGGCAAACTGTGGCTCTCGAGCAATATGCACCTCTTTGGCTCCTTGAGTTTTTAGCAAAGGCCAGCTTAGGAGTACTCTAAGTTAATAACAATGTACCTACCTATACAATTTAAGTTTAAAAATTTTGGCTCTCAAAAGAAATTTCAATCGTTGTACCGTTGATATTTGGCTCTGCTGACTAATGAGTTTGCCGACTACTGCATTAGAAGAAACATAAAACCTTTGTAATAGTATGAGCAATAAAGATTGATTTAAGAAAAAAAAAAAGAAGAAGAAACATAAAGAGTTCTCAACCGTAGAGTCCCATTGCAATCACCGGAGGCCCTTTAAAAAGTATTGCTGCCCAGCTACTGCCCTAGACATGCAGCTTTAATTGGTCTTGGGAGTGGCCTGGGCAGTGGTATTTGGCCTGGGCAGTGGTATTTTAAAACTCCCAGGCAATCCTAATATGTAACTCCATTTTAGTGCCACTCCCAAGGAAGTCATCTAATCTCAGACCTTCACGAGTGCCCAGTCAACAATTCTGCTGACAGGAATCCATAACTCTTAAAAAAAAAAAAAAAAAAGTGTGAGTTTCTGAGTATCTATCTCAGTTGGTTTGAGTATCATCCTGATATGCCAAGGTTGTGGGTTCAATCTCCTGTCAGGGCACGTACAAGAAGCAACCAGTGAACGCATAAATAACAAATTGATCTTTCTCTCTCTGTCTCTTTCTCTCCTCAAAAAAAAAAAGTGTGAGTCTTTTACCATATCTCCACATTGAATGTTTTCTGCTGGAAAAATGAGGAAAGGAGGGAAGAGAGATTCCATACCAGCAGGATGCTAAGGTGCTCTAACTTCACCTAGCATTTCCCACGATATAGCCGTGGCCAGAACTTAGCTCCTAGGTGCGGATGATGGGGTGCTGAGAGTTGGAGAATTCCTAAACTTGCTTCTCTAGCAGTTTTTCCCTTTTGGGGCTGGAATGCTCTCCAGGTGGGGAATGGAGCCGCCGAGCCCTCCACCAGTTAGGCATTTTGGCAGCCGGTCAGAGTTTTGGGTTTATTTTGGGTGACAGTTACATCTCATGTAGTTTCTGCTAAGTCTTCTATAATCCCATGGTGAGTTGAAGGAAATGAATCAAACTGCTCAGCAATTTTAGAATCTGTATGGAGACTAAGCCAACTAGTGGGGTAATTCAAAAGCATTTTTGATCTGTACTTGTTAGGAAACTGCCCAGAATTGCCTGTGGTTATTTTAGCAGACAATGGCCACATGCTTGTGGTTTCTGAGTTCTAAATATAAGAACAGCTTTTAAAATCAGAATAATCTGCAATTTTGAGGGCACACATTTATAGGCTCAACACCATATATACTCGAAGCTTTCACTTTACCTGCCGGATTTCCCAATTTACATTCCACTGTTTCATGTTGGCAAATCTCCATGTTGTAATTGGGACCCCAGTGGCTGCATCGATTCTAATCAGCCTATTATATGAAACTCCCAGGATGTCATCTTTCTTGCTTCCTTTAAACCTGAAAAAAAAAAAAATAAGAGAAGTAACTGCTTCTTGTAATATGCTGTTTATTCACAAACAACTTCTTAAAGATAAATAATACCAACATTTCTAAATCATCTATAAAGAATGAACAATGAAGGGTTATCTTTCTACAGAAGGGCATTTTTATTGTAATATAGAGAATATGACAGAATTAAGACTGTCTCAAAGGCATTCTTTTTTAAAAAAATATATTTAATCAATTTTTTTAATATTATACATATGATTTATTGATTGATTGATTGATTTTTTACAGAGAGGAAGGGAGGGAGATAGAGAGCTAGAAATGTCGATGAGAGAGAAACATCAATCAGCTGCCTCTTGCACACCCCCTACTGGGGATATGCCCACAACCAAGGTACATGACCTTGCCCAGAATCGAGCCGGGACCTTTCAGTCCGCAGGCTGACACTCTATCCACTGAGCCAAACCAGTCTCGGCTCAAAGGCATTCTTTAAGTGAAATTGACTTTAGAGGAAAGCAAAATAAAAGGGGGTCAAATTAATTAATTCAAAATTAGCACCAACTGTGTATGCCAGGCACCCTTTTAGGCACTGAGACAATAGCAGTGACCTAAATGGATGGAAAATCCCTGACTTCATGGAGCTTATGTCTAGTGGGGGAAACTTGACCAGAAAGGAGGTCACAGGTTTCATAAAAATCAATGGGTGATTTCTCTCTCTGGTTTTGCAAATATTGTTATTCTAAAAGGACCAAATTTGCTTTCCTACCTTTTCTAGGATTCACAGGTATTGGCACCTTGGGCAGAGGTACAGAAGCTCTTTTTGAGCAGCCAAAAGTTTGGGGCTATTTGTGAAAGGACAGGATTCTAAAAATAAAAAGAGTTCTACACCCTAGATCAGTGGTCGGCAAACCACGGCTCTAGAGCCACCTGTGGCACTTTGGCCCCTTGAGTGCGGCTCTTCCACAAAATACCACGACCTGGGCGAGTCTATTTTGAAGGAGTGGCGATAGAAGAAGTTTAAGTTTAAAAAATTTGGCTCTCATAAGAAATTTCAGTCGTTGTACTGTTGATATTTGGCTCTGTTGACTAATGAGTTTGCCGACTACTGCCCTAGATTAAGTGAGAATGGACAGTTCCAAGAAAACCACTTAAAATGGAAAGGAAAGTGAGAGAAGCAAGTGAACATTGTAATCACCTGACAAGGTAATAGGTGAGGCCGAATTCGGGTAGAGACTGCCATGCCTGAATGAACCGCAGCTTGGCTTCAACCAGGGACATCTGGGCCACGTTCTGGTGGGCCTCCATAATTCGAGCTGCCAGCTAAACAGAGACAAGAGACATCAAACTCACCTTAGCATGCACTGACTGCTCTATAACCATCCGATTAGTTTCAGATTACTAAGAGAAAATAAAAGGGAGATCCACCTGCAGCATTTCAAATATGAGTAATTCTCATTCATATTCTCTCCTCTGCGCGCTCTCTCTCTTTCTCTCTCTCTCTCTCTCTCTCTCTCTCTCTCTCTCTCTCTCTCTCGCACACACACACACACACACACACACACACACACTCAAATCCCCAGGGAGAAGCTGAAACTAGATCAACCAACACAAGAGCTTCTAAGGCTCATGGAGATAGAGAGTTCTGGATTCCTCTTTCTGGGGTAGTGGTGTATCTGTGGACAATGGGTCTACTTGATTAAGTTTATCTGTTTGACTTTTTAACCCATGTTTATGGAAGCATAATTTAAAAATTTTATTTGCAGGGACTAAATAATTGTATTTATTTATTTAAAATATTTTTATTGATTTCAGAGAGGAAGGGAGAGGGAGAGAGTCGGAAACATCAATGATGAGAGAGAATAATTGAGCAGCTGCCTCCTTGATACTGGGGATCAAGCCCGCAACTTCGGGCATGTGCCCTTTACCAGAATCAAACCTGAGACCCTTCAGTTAGCAGGCCGACGCTCTATTCACCAAGCCAAACCAGCTAGGACTAGGGCCTTATTTTTAATTAGACTATATCAGGATATAATGATATATTCAATTAGCAGTACAGTTACTTCTAACATAATTAACACTAATTTCTTTTTTCTTCTTTTAAAAAAATATATTTTATTGATTTTTTTTACACAGAGGAAGGGAGAGATATAGAGAGCTAGAAACATCGATGAGAGAGAAACATCGACCAGCTGCCTCTTGCACACCCCCTATTGGGGATGTGCCCGCAACCCAGGTACATGCCCTTGACCAGAATCGAACCTGGGACCTTTTAGTCCACAGACTGACGCTCTACCACTGAGCCAAACCGGTTTCGGCTAACAATAATTTCTTAATATCATCTAATACCCAGTCTGTAGTCAAATTTGCCCATCAACTGATTTTTCATGATGACGGCCTCAATTATTTTAATTCCTCATTTTATTTCAGGAAAAGACAGAATACACTGCAAACCATTACCCCAACAAGGTCAGCAGTACCTGTTTAGACTTGTGTTTTTTTGCACACCGGGGAGACACAAAACATTCCGGGTTCATGTCCATGTTTTCAGGACTGGAGGCTAAGGAAGACGCTGAGTTCCGGTTTTTCATCCTCAGAAATGAAAGAATGTTGAGGACTTCTGGCTGGTAGGAGCTATCTGCCATGGTTTTGCCCTTCGATGCCAAGATACAGGCAGCCATCCACTGGGCATATTGATTCTCCTGCAGCAAACACAGGAGGGCAGAGAAGCAAGGTCAGGTCCTGGGACTATCATACAAAATTGTCACCTTCCAAGCTTGGAAAGATTACAGTGGCATATGTTCTGAGTGGCCATTATTCACCTAACTTAACACCCAACAAGGGCCTTTGATTCTTGTTGAGTGTCTAGTTAAGGGGCTAGCGAACAGCAATGTCAGTCTTGCTAAATTCCACAAATTTAAAGATGAACCAAGGATGTGTGCTATGGAGCACAGACAGCTGAAACCCTCAAGTACCAGGCAGCCTTCCTGGATAGGGATTTCCATTTTCAGATCACATCTGATCTCTCTGACAGAACAAGAAAAAAAAAAAAATCATGAACTGATTTCCTATATTATCATTAATAAAGACTCTAGTCCAGGCGTCTTCAAACTTTTTAAAGTGGGGGCCAGATCACGGTCCCTCAGAAAGCTGGAGGGCCGGACTATATGAACTACTAATTCCTACTGTAACACCTCGGCTGCGCTCACTGCCCAAAAAACCTGGCGGGCCGGATCAGACTCCTCTTCGGGCCGCATGTGGCCCGCGGGCCGTAGTTTGAAGACGCCTGCCTAGTCCACAGTAGGAATCAGGTCCATGGATGAGCTCTGAACCAGAGAGGGGTGCCTCCTATCTGTCTGCATTTTCCTAACCTGGGGGAGTAAAGAGGAGTGGTCCCAGAAGCTGAGTGGATGCAGCTGAAGAGTGAAATTCTTCACAGCAACAGTAGGTGTGGTCCATTGACTTACTGGCCTCAATCTCCACTCCCTTTGCCATGTCCCTCCCACAACAACCAGAGTGTAATTAACCCCTCTTGATGTTGGGCCCAGCCATGAGGCTTGCTTTTGTTAGTGGGAATTTTTGAGCATGCTTCCAGAGAGGCCGTGGACTATGCCCCAGATAGAGTTATCAGTGTGACACCAGGCCAGGCCTTGAGATGGGGTCTCATGGCCCCTTCCCAGTACGTAGGCCTTCGTTTATAGATCACTGTCAGCTTTCTGAAGAACAGGATGATCCTATAAGTAACATGATCGTCAATGGCATGATCCTGACGTAGCTTAGGAAAAACTGTTTTGTCTTGGGTTACTTGTTCTGCAAAAACAGGATGTGATTAATGTGCTTAAAAGTGGTCCTGCATGCTGAAACTGGTTTGGCTCAGTGAATAGAGTGCCGGCCTGCAGACTCAAGGGTCCCAGGTTCGATTCCAGTCAAGGGCATGTACCTTGGTTGTGGGCACATCCCCAGTAGGGGTTGTGCAAGAGGCAGCTGATAGATGATTCTCTCTCATCAATGTTTCTAACTCTCTATCCCTCTCTCTTCCTCTCTGTAAAAAAATTAATTAAAAAAAAAAGTGGTCCTGCACAGAGTTGGGACTGCTCTCTTGTCTCCCTGTGTGGAGAAAGGCAGAGTAGTTGCTGGTTGGCTGGCTGGCAGGCCGGCTAATAAAGGCTCCCTAAATTTTAATTTGGTCTGGGCTCCAGTGGTCTTTACTTGAGTTTGTTCCACAACACTTTGGCCAATTGAATAAGGGTGGAAAGGACCAATCGCAAGCCTACGTGTGGAGAGGCCTCATCTGCTTCCAGTTGCTTTCTAGCATTCCTGCCATCATTGTGAGAAGAGCTACCCCAGGCAGCTCAGGACTCAGAATAAATTAAATGAGCTCAAACTGCAGTGAACAGCCAGGCTCAGCCAGATATTCCCTGCTGATGCCAGCCTGCTTCCTCCACCCCAGCCTACCTGCAGATGTCTCAGAAACAAGTGTTTATCAGTATATGTCATTGCGACTTTTGTGGTTGTTTGTTACAAAACAATAGCTAACTGGTACAATAGTATTCTCATTTGAGAAAATACCTCAGATGGTGTGTCCTTAGGTTTAATAAAGGTGAAATGACTGAATGTTTGTATGGTTTTACTTACATGGTCACATCTCAGATACACTTCATTCATACCATCAGCAACAGGGATTAGTAACTTGATTCCAAATTTTCTTCCTGCTACATTCACATCTGGCACAACTTCACAGCCTGAATAACAAAAGGCAGGGTCCCAGCTGAGTTGTGGAGAATGTATTAGATAAATATCAGGTGTGCAACTAAAAGGAAGACTTTGAAAGAAGCCTCTTAAATTTTGTTCTCTTATGAAAAATGGAGGAGCAAGCTGATAATATTAATTAAAGGCTAAGTAGATAAGACTTACAATTCACATGAATAGAGAAAAATATTTTTTTATTATTTAAAAAATATATCAGCAATTGAATTCGGTTTTAAGATTGATTTGGCTATCCCAACTTATAAAAACCATTATGAACGTGAAGTAACCCATAGGAACAATTATGAATATGACCTTCAAAATAAATCAAAACCCAGGAAATTCTCTGATTGCCACAGCGATAAGGGAATTGAGTGTACGGGTTAATAAAATATTTCAACTAATAGAGTTACCAGGACACTTACAGTCACTTTCAGGACTTAGAATAGGCATTAAAGCAACACTGAATTAAACATAACTGTTCTAGAATTCAGAAAGCTTCTCAGGAGTATTATACTTATTAAGTACAATGTATTATACTTATGACACCAATGACCACCACTGCATAGATTTGGGAAAGAAGAAACAGCAGACTATAAATGACCATGTTTACTAAACCACACTCCAGGCCCAGGTGCCGGGGGGCGGAGCTGCAGGCCGGGCCTTGGAGCACAGGGACGCACTGGCAGTCAGCCTCGCTTCCCGGGAGAAGGGGGGCTTTCCTCTGCCTGCTGGGTCACGACAAGCCACAGCCAAGTAGAGCCCACTTACCTCTAAGATTTAACTTTTCTACCGGTTCTCCTTCTTCAAGTTCCTTGTGTTTAAAGTAGGTGATAGACGTGTCTTTAAAGACGAACCAATATTGTTTGAAAGCTTTTAATATTAGCTTCTTGGGCCTGCAAATGAAAAGTACGGGAAACGTTCAAACAACATCCAGAAATGTAGGAAACATTGCAAATTTCAAGCACATTAAGACGCTTTTTCAAACAACATACGCTTCATTTCTAAAAATGACGAATGGGGTTTGCTCTGAGATGTAGAGGTTAATAATAGGTGCTAAATAATAATAATATAAATAATAAATATAATAATAATTATTATAATGGTAATAATTATTATTTGTGAGAAACATCCATGGATCTGTGACATATAAAATTTCCATACACTTCTTAGATCTGAAGAAACTGCCATTGTGAACAGCATGACCTTCAAGTTGTCAGACATAAATATCAGATATGAAAACAGGTAACCTCTTCTGTGGTTTCCTCTTGAGCCTTAAGAGAAACCACTAGAGAATTCCCAGGGAGCCATGGAAAGCACTAAAATCTACAGCTAGCCTTTATAGACTCTATTTTGGGTGAAGAAAACATTGCTCACTGGGCTACACTTAAAAAGTCTTGTGGCACACTGGTTGAGAATTGCTGCCTTAACATATTTACAATTGCGTATTTGTGATTTAAAAAAAATATATTTTATTGGTTTTTTTACAGAGAGGAAGAGAGAGGGATATAGAGAGTTAGAAACATCAATGAGAGAGAATCATCGATCAGCTGCCTCTAGCACACCCCCTACTGGGGATGTGTCTGCAACCAAGGTACATGCCCTTGACTGGAATCGAACCAGGGACCTTTAAAAGTCCGCAGGCTGACACTCTATCCACTGAGCCAAACTGGTTTTGGCTATTTGTGATATTTATATAGAGGTATGGGCAAAATCAGGTTTACAGTTGTAATACAAATAAATAATACAATAATAATAAAATAATATCAGAATATACTGGTTTTTAAAAATATACATTTTTATTGATTTCAGAGAGGAAGGGAGAGGAAGAGAGAGATAGAAACATCAATGATAAGAGAGAATCATTGATCAGCTGCCTCTTGCATGCTCCCCATTGGGGATCGAGCCCACAACCCAGGCAAGTGCCTTGACTGGGCATCAAATCCTAAACCTTCGGTGTATGAGACAGTGTTCTAACCAACGGAGCCACCTAACCAGGGCATCATTGTTTTTTATTAAATATGTAATTTACTAGTAGGATTATATCTTGTCTGGTTTATACTTAGGGATTTTCAAAAAAGTATAATCTTGAAAAATTGGTTAGGCAGAAAATTCCAGATTGATTGTGATTTTCTCTTGGCACTTTCAAGATATCTCCCAGCCATGAGAAGTGTGCTGCCCACCTGTTTTTCTTTGTAGAAAATCTGTCTTCGCCATCTGACTTAAAATACTTTCACACTGGTTTATTTTATTGGGGTCTGCAATTCTTGAATTTAAGGATTTTTATCTTCAATAATTATATAACATTTTTAAGCACTCTCTTTTAAGTGCTTGGTTCTTCCCATATTTTCTTCTGGAACTCCCAGCTGATTCTTCTCATTCTATTTACATCATGTTTCCCGTTTCTACTTGACTGTAGTTCTCTCTTCAGCTGTGTTTTTAGACTTGATGGTTAATGCACCTATTCAATTTTAAATCTCTGTATGTTTTCTTTTCATTTCTAGAATTTCTATTTGATTTCATTTCAATATTGCTGTTCTCCTTCATTATAATTATCTTTTAATTTACTTAATGATTCTCAACATACTCATTTTATGGTTTCTTCAGATTGTTCCATTATTTGAAATTATTGAAACTGTTAATCCTGTTGTTGGCTGGGTCTGATGTTTTTCCTGTATGGTGGTTTATTGATTCAAACGGTTAGTAATTTTTATTGGAAGTTTTTGTTTTGTTTTGTTTTTTAAGAGAGTTATTGTTTTCTGTAGAAGGCCCATGCATGCCAGATTGTGGATATTTCCCTACAAGGTTTTTAAAATTACATTTGTTAGGGCTTCATAGATTTTTGTGGTCCTGATCCAGTTTCTATTTAATTTTTTCAGGATTCTTTTATCATTTAAATTTAGATCTATATCAGTGTGTGGCACAGACCTTGGCTCTGATTTCTTGAGAGAGACTTTTCATAACCCCACACAGCACCCTATGCTAGAATAAACTTCCTCACAGCTTCCTTTGGTTGATGGGTAGTTTTTTTACTCCCTGTTAAGTAGAGAAGGAAGCCGTTGCAGGTTTCTACCCTTAGGCAGGGCCTTCAGTCCTGGCTCCCTGCCTCATATGAAGCACACCCCACCTTAAAGCCTCATCTTTGATCCCTGCACGAGGCCGCAAGAGAATTGATGTTCATGGACCAACTCCCTCTGTGTGGCTGAGGCTCCATTGGTAGATCTAGGGTCCCTCTTTATTTCCTGGAGTTGGGGTTTCTTAGTCCCTCTTTAAGATCAATTTTTAAAAAATATATATTTTATTGATTTTTACACAGAGAGGAATTGAGAGGGATAGAGAGTTAGAAACATCGATGAGAGAGATACATCTACCAGCTGCCTCCTGCACACCCCCCCACTGGGGAAGTGCCCGCAACCAAGGTACGTGCCCTGGACCGGAATTGAACCCGGGACCTTTCAGTCTGTAGGCCGACGCTCTATCCACTGAGCCAAACCGGTTTTGGCAAGATCAATTTTTTAACTTACAATTCTTTTGTTTTATTTTATCCAGCATTCATATGTGTTTATGGTAACATTGGGATTTGCATTAGGTCAAATGCCAAACTGCTGGAATTTGAAATCCACTATTTATATAGTGAGCTCAACTGAATTTGTTTAGGGGAGAAAAAAAACTTCACTGTCAATAAACACACCAAAAATCCAAGGGTTAGTTCAATGCTTTTCTACTGATAAGGAAAAGAGGCCCAGGGAAATGAAGGACCTATTCAAGATCACACACCCATTAGGAACAGAACTCCATTCTCCTTTCTCCCTTCTCTTCTCCCCTTTTCTTTGCTTCTTCTCTCTTCCCTTCCTCCTTCACTTCTCTCTTCGTGAACTATATTATATATTAAATTCAGTGTCTTGAGACCTTTGATAAAGTGCCCACTGGCCAAACATGAGAATGATTTTGTGAGTCTAAACATATCAATCCATTAAAGTGATGTGGATGTGGGCTTTACTCCAGGATGTCTTCTCCTTCACCTAAAACATCTACCGGGAGGCCTTGCCAGCATGACTCAGTGGTGGAACATTGACCTATGAATCGGGAGGTCATGGTTCGATTTCTAGTCAGGGCATATGCCTGGGTTGCGGGCTCAATCCCCAAAGTGGGGCGTGCAGGAGGCAGTCAATCAATGATCCTCTCTCATCACTGATGTTTCTATCTCTTCCTCTCCGAAATCAAGAAAAAATATATTTAAAAAAATAAAACATCTGTTGGGAGGAAATCATTATTGGTTTTTTAAAAAACCGGAATTGCTCTATACAGAGAACAGGGCAACCTACTTTCTTTGTAGAACAATGATTAATAACTAGAGGCCCAGTGCATGATTTTTGTGCACCAGTGGGGTCTCTTGGCCTGGCCTGTGGGATTGGGCTGAAACCGGCTTTCCAACATCCCCCAAGGGGTCCTTGATTGTGAGAGGGTGAAGGTCAGGCCAAGGGACCCACTGGTGCACAATCAGGACCAGGAAGGTATGCAGGAGTTTGGCTAGCTGGGGAAGGATCTCGGGGAGGGGGGAGGGGGAGAGGACTTCAGGAAGTATTTGGCCCATCTAGCTTAGTCCCTGTTTGCTGGACCCCAGCAGCTAGCTAACCTACCAGTCAGAGCATCTGCCCCCCAGCGGTCAGTGCACAACATAGCGAAGGTTGAGCAGCCTTAGCATATTATTAACATACTAGTGGCCTAATGCACGAATTTGTGTATAGGTGGGGTCTGGCTGGCCCGACCTTAATCAGGGCCAATTGGGGCTGGGCCTGTTGGTATGAGGAGATGATAGGTGGTTGCCCCGATAGGGGCCTGATCAGGGCTGAGCTGGCTGGGGACGGAAGAGCTATGGGTGATTGGCCTGCAAGCCTTGCCCCCAATTGGGGTTGGGGGGACAATTGAGGGTGGGACTGGCCATAGGGAGGGGTTGTGGGCAGTGGGCTTTATATATATAAAGCTTTATATATATATATATATAAAGCTTTGATTGGTTAAATGAACAACTGGATGACTGGACACTTAGCATATTAGGCTTTTATTATATAGGATTTATGAAGATGTATTTGTGGATTTAAATTATTACTGTTTTTCTATAGCTCTGTCTATCACAATATGCATGGTTGCACCTATTAATGACCCTTTTGTTTGAGACCACATCCTAAGACCACATTTTAAAAAGAAAACATCCTGTAAAACAAGCATGTCAAACTTGAGGCCTGCGGGCTGCATGTGGTCCACAACGAATATTTTTGCAACCCAGTCAATATAACGGCATGTAAGAAACATTTTAATAAAAATTTCATAACTTAATTTTTATAATATCCTGTTATACATAATTATTAATAACAAACTACAATGTTCGCTAATGACTGGTTACTATAATTGTGTGGCATTTATTTCCCTTTCACTCCTTACATGCAGGCACACCATTTCTCTCAACTAATACTAGCACCAAGTATTTTAGCAGCTGATTGCCACATCATTAGTCTTGGACTAACTTGTTTGGTGTGTGCAACAGGAAATATTTTGCTTTTAGAGAACAAGAAAAATCAGTTTATTTGCATTATGCTTATTAATTTGTGCAGTTATTCAGTGTCTGGTAAGTTAATGTTCAAGAAAAAAAATAATTTTTTATTAAAATGATATATTATTTTAAGTTAACGATTACTCATTTATTTCAGCCCATTGTATTCAGCATGTCTCTATTGAAATAAACCTACGTTTCTATAAAAATTGAAGCTTTTGTTATTTTTTTGTGGCCCACATAAACTTAAACCTTGTTTATGTGGCCCATATTAACCTTTGAGTTTGACATGCTTGCTGTAGAAACCCAGGGACAAACCTTTGGATTCTTTTTTCTCATTTATACCTGATTGATTCATTTTCATTCTTTCTAAGTCTTTCTTTGCATTCTGTATTACCAAAAGCAACTGGTTTCCTTTCAAGCCAATGACCCAGTGAAGTGTTGGTTTGTTAAAAGTCAACAAACCATAAAGTGACACAGTAACTGATAGAACTTCAAAGGGACCTTTTCCCTTTCATCCTAACGCACCTTGGCACCATCACAAATATGTCAGTCCTTTTTCTCCCCATGAAATAAAAAATTTTCTGCCTTTTTAACAGTTTCTGATTGACATGAGGTGACTGGGTATAAGTAATATCCCTCTATAATAAGTAATATCCCTCTATAAGCCCGAGATCCAAGTTCTAGTGACAACTGCTTTTCAAACTGTGAAAGAACAGGGAAATGGTGTCAGAGTTGAGCCTCCCAGACGGACGGTCACAGAAACTCCAGTCTGACATACATGTTCGTTCTGCCTGACCCTGGCCATGTTTACACCACCATGTACTAAGAGCCAGGCCCCATGCTCAGTGTTTCATATGTGTTATTTAATCTTCTCAACAAACTCAGGAGGAGGTATATCCTCATTTTATAGATCAGGAAACTGAGGCTCAGAGACAAAAGGACAGCCCCCAGGGTCACCCAGGGAGCTTGTGCTGTGGAGCAGTATGGCCCATTGTCTGTCTGATGCCAAAGCTCACGCTCTTATCTTTCAACCATGAATCTGCTTAGTGGTTCTTCAATTTAAACTCCTGGATTTTTTACCTATAAGGCTTTGTTATGAGTAATCCCTTGTCCCTTTAAGGATGACTTACCTAAATAATTTGAGATTATCTGCAAGTTTAGGGATATCAGTGATGTCCTCCTAAGAAAACACAGATAATATTTCATAAGCAGTGATTAGACACGTGGTGCTGATACTTTATACCTGCACTGCCCAACACTATAGCCACTCATCACATGTAGCCATTTAAACTTGAATTAATTACAATGATATAAAACAGCGATTCTCAACCTGTGGGTCTCGACCCCTTTGGGGGTCGAATGACTCACACGGGTTGCCTAAGACCATTGGAAAACAGATATTTACATTAGGATTCATTAACAGCAGCATAATTACAGTTATGAAGTAGCAACGAAAATAATTTTATGGTTGGGGGTCACCACAACATGAGGAACTGTATTAAAGGGTTGCAGCATAAGGAAGGTTGAGAACCACTGATATAAAAAGACAACTCAGTTCCTCAGTCACACTAGCCACACATCCAGAAGTTGCCTTAGGGTGAGGAATGGGGTGGGGCAGGGTTGGGAGTGGGATGGGCACATGCAGGAATTCTGTAGTGGCTGGCCAAGTTCTGGTTATTGGTTTGGTGGTGACTTAGGAGATAATTTAATACTCCTTTGATAGGCTGTACATTTTTGTTTTTCATTTTTCTGTACTAGTATATGTCACATATCACACAAATGAAAAAAAGAGATTAAAAATTTGACCAAGCATGCTCTGTGCCTACCATTCCAGTGAAACACTTGAATTAGAAACAACTATTTTACGTACAAACAAAAGTATTTTACAACTTGGGCATCAGAGTGAGTAGCGTAGGTACACCTGTTTACTGATTAAACGTTTGAAAGGTACCTGGCTCAAAGTTCATTCTACAGCCGTAGGTTGGTGCTTTTCAAACTGAAAAGCCTATTGTTTGACATCAGAAAGCCTTGACAGAAAATATCTTGAGGGCGGGAGGAGGGAAACTTTCATCTATTCTAGGAAGGAACACTTTCCTTTTGTATGTACTTAGTGGTGGAAGTAGACAAAAAAGAACTCCAATTTCATGGGGCGGCTGTCTCCTATACATGTGTGGAGGCTCTGACTCTCTACAGTGCCTTGGCTTTGAGTTCATTTCAGGTATTTAGTTTTACATGAACCAGTTCCCTATTTTAAGGAATTTAATCATCAGTGAACACATACTAAATACATAAGAACACAGTGACTCATTTTTATCAATTACTTTAAAAAAATCTAATTACAATGGATCCACCTCTCTGAATCAATGTGATTAAGCCACTCCCATGGTTAAAGAAGTTAAACAAAAGTGTGGCACCCAACCAATGCATCCAGCTGCAGGGGCATTCCAACGATAAAGCTGACATTGGGCCACGTTTCATGGGTAAGGAGCAAAAGCTGTTTTGCTAAAGTCAAAAGAGTTCAGGAAATTTTTATCGTGTTCCAGAAAAAGGCCCTCACTTCGGTCAGCCTTGCCCAGTGGAAAGGTAATCAGGGGTAGGGACCATCTGGCCCACGAAATCACTTGGTCTGGTGCTGCCAAGCCATTAGGGGTAAATGTTTGACCAAATGTAGCGGGCTAATTTTTAAGTTAATAATTTTGTTTGGCCTGTGAATAATGTTGTAAATATCTAAATGGCCCTTGGCCAAAAAAAAAAAAATAAAAATAAAAAAAAAATGTTCCCTGCCCTTAAGGTAAATAGATAACAAGGCTTTGTTACCTGTAAGGCATTTTCTGTATTTCCACAGCTACCCTGTACAATAGACTGAGGGTTCTTTCTAGACTTAAGGAACCAATTCCATGTTCCATGTAGTGAAATGGAGTCCTCTGCAGTCATTCTCTCCTCCCAGGCCAACTCATCCCAAAGAAGACATGTGATGTGATAGTATTGTCATTAGTGCAATGAGAACACTTACAGAGCTGACAGAGCTGACCTGGGAAAGCTGGTCAGTTCTAGCTAGGTTTAAGCTGACCTAGCTAGATGACCAGCATGTTTTCTTTCCTCAAATTTAGACAAAATATTCTCTTATTTCTGATAAAAAACAAAATGTCACCCACATTGGTCAGTCAGAACAAAGCCACAATTCGGAGTTATCAGAAAAGTCCATACCAAAGCGTTGTCCGCTTTTCCACCTTCTAGAGTCACTTCCAAATTAGAAAGTGCTGCTTCCACTTCATCGACCTCAGACTCACTTGTGAAGTCCTGTATTTCAGCGGACGACGACAATTTGCTGATGTGATACTGCAAAGAAACAAGTTTTAGAAATGGTAGAAGCACAATAAATCCATTAGCCAGTTCTTTTTTGGGAGACAATTCTCCTGTAATACCAAACATCTCCACAGAGATCTCCCTCCTGTGCAGAGAAAATGACATTTTAATCTGAATAATTCTGAGATCCAAAGCTGGTCATGTTCAGACTCGGCTCTTCTCCATCACTGGCTGAGTTTGTATTGGGGAAGAGGGAAGAATTGCAAGACTGATACTTTATATAAGTTATACATATGTGTTTACAAGGAGCATTTAAAATTTTAATCACTGGCCTCATTTTTAGTGCTTTCTTCCAAGAAAAGGCCAGTATGAATACAATGAAACTTGAGCAAAACTTGCTTTGTCTCCTTCCACAGAGAAGGTTCTGAAGTTCCCATACCTGCAGTGCTGCAAAGATCAACATTTCTTCCTCTGTGCAGTCAATTTCTTCTAAGACAATGGCCCACCTGGCTTGTTCATAGAGCTGGTTTATTCGGACAGCATCGTACTAGAGGAAGAAAAAGTTATGTGTGTGTGGGCAGTGGTGGTGATGTAGGGGCCGCATTCATATTCCACAATACAAGATTCTGGAATGACAGGCCATTCCTTGTTAGGCAGATGCACTAAACTTTAGTTCATGTAACTAAAGGGACACACTGCCCCAGCTCGTTTTACTTCTGAATTTAGAATTTTCTCAAAATATTTCCCAGAGTTTCTTCAAGGGGCCCAACTACTAACCCATGTTAGATTCCATTACTTCACCTCCCTTTTATCACATTCCTATTGGTATGAAAAGCAGATAGTAAAATTAGTTTCTGTGATAACCAATAAAAGGAGAAGGGATTCCCCACACCATCTGCAAACTCAGTGCAATCTAATCAGAATCTGATAGGGATTTTTATTCATTTTAGTGATTTTTATTTTTATTTATTTTATTTATTTTTATTTATTTAAAAAAATATATTTTATTGATATTTCACAGAGAGGAGGAAGGGAGAGAGATAGAGAGCTAGAAACGTCAATGAGAGAGAAACATCGACCAGCTGCCTCTTGCACACCCTCTACCGGGGATGTGCTCGCAACCAATGTACATGCCCTTGACCGGAATCAAACCTGGGACCTTTCAGTCCGCAGACCGACGCTCTACCACTGAGCCAAACCGGCTTCGGCTCATTTTATTGATTTTTAGAGAGAAAAAGTCAGAGGGAGAGAGAGAAATATCAATGCCAGAGCGTAACATTGATTGGCTGCCTCCTGCATATCCCTCACTGGGAATTAAGCCCAAAACCCTGGGCATGTGCCCTGACTAGAAATTAAACCATGCACAGGACAGGACGATGCCCAACCAACTTAGCCATACCAGCCAGGGCTGTTAGGGATAACTTTATACAAGCTAATTTTTAAGTTAAGCTAGAAAAAAACCCCAATTCTAGAAAACAAAAAAACCCCAAAGAGGTAACATTCTATATAATAATTAGACTGGATGGTGGAATGACCTTCCTGACTGACCAGTGGACGGGGCCGCAGGACCACAGGGGCCACAAGGCAGCGGGGGGTGCGAGGGCCAAACCCTTTGCACGAATTTCGTGCATCGGGCCTCTAGCGTTCAAATACCATGAAGAACATTTTGAAAAAAACAAAAAACAAAACAATATTGGGAAGACACCTATCCTCCCAGACATTAAAACATATTATAAAGCTGCAGCAACTAAAATGGTGTCGTATTCATATAGTGATAGACAAAATGTCAATAACACAGTATCTAGAAACAGACCTATATATGTATATAAGTTTAATATAAAATAAAAATGGCATTTTATAGCAGCAGGGGAAGAAATAATTCAACACTATAGTGTTAACAATGCTGTGCCATTTGGAAAATAAAAATCCAAATTAAAAAAACCAATCTCTCATCATCCAAAAAATATTAATTACAGACAGACAACGAGATACCACTTCACACTCACTAGGCTCAAAGGCAAAAGACAGATCATATCAAATGTTACTGAAGGTGTGGAGAAATTGGAATCCTTATTCATGCTGGTGAGACTATAAAATGGAGCAGCTTCTATGGGAAATAGTTTGGTAGTTCCTCAAAATGTTAAACATAGAGTATGACCCAGCAATTCCATTAGTAAGTATATAGTGAAAAAAGAAAAGAAAAAGATGTACTATAGCTTTTTGCTCGAATAAATCTTGCCACTGTCACTTAAAAAAAAAAAGAAAGAAAAGAAAAAGAGGGACTCAGACAGATACTTGTACACCAGTGCTCATCACAGCATTATTCACAATAACCAAAAGGTAGAAACAACCCCAATGCCCATAAATGGATGAATAAGTAAACACAATATTGTATATACACACAATGGGATATCATTCAGCCTTCAGTAGGAATGAAATTCTCATGCACATTACAACTATAAGACTTTGAAATAAGCCAGACATAAAAGGACAAATAGTGTGTGATTCCACTTTTATGAAGTACCTACAATAGGCAAATTCATAGAGGTAGGAAGTAGAATAGAGGTTACAGGGCTGGAGGAAGGGCTAAATGGGGAGTTATTGTTTAATGGGTGCAGAGTTTTTGTATAGGATGATGAAAAATGTTCTGGAAATGGACAATGGTGGTAGCTTCATAACATTATAAATGTACTTTAAAAAAAAAATATATATATATTTTATTGATTTTGTACAGAGAGGAAGGGAGAGAGATAGAGAGCTAGAAACATCGATGAGAGAGAGTCATCGATCAGCCGCCTCCCGCACACCCCCCACTGGGGATATGCCTGCAACCAAGGTACATGCCCCCTACCGGAATTGAACCCGGGACCTTTCAGTCCCCAAGCCGACGCTCTATCCATTGAGCCAAACCGGTCTCGGCTATAAATGTACTTAATGCCACTGAATTGTGGACCTAAAAATGGTTAAAATGGCCCTAGCTGGTGTGGTTCTGTGGATAGAGCATCAGCCTGCAGACTGAAGGGTCCCAAGTTCGATTCTGGTCAAGGGCACATGACTGGGTTGCGCGCTGATCCCGCATGAGGCAGCCGATCAATGATTCGCTCTCATCATGATGGTTCTCTCTTTCCCTCCCTCTCCCTTCCTCTCTAAAAATCAAGTAAAGATAAGCTATTGACTGGGAGAAAATCTTTAAAAATTAATTAAAAAATGGTTAAAATGGCAATTGTTATGTATGTTTTACCACAATGAAAAGAATCAAAAACACACAAAAAAATCCCCCAAACCCCAACCTGTACACGAATGTTCTTAGCAGCATTATTCATAATAGTCCCAAAGTAGAATCATTCCAAATGTCCATCAACTGATGAATAGGTAAATAAAATGTGGCACATACATTCAATGGGATATTATCCTATGTAATAAAGAAGTAATATGCAAATTGACCCTCACACCCTCACACAAGATGGCCAACCCCATGTGGTCAAAGATGGCCACCACAAGATGGTTGGCAGGGGAAGGCAATTGGGGGGGGGGGGGGGGAAGGGACCAGGCCTGCAAGGAAGGGCAGTTGGGGCAACAGGCCTGCAGGGGAGGGCAGTTGGGGGGTTACTGGGCCAGCAGGGGAGGGCAGTTGGGGGCGATCAGGTCAGCAGGGGAGCAGTTAGGTGTCAATCAGGCTAGCAGGCAAGTGAGTGGTTGGGAGCCAGCAGTTCTGGATTGTGAGAGGGATGTCTGCTGCTGGTTTAGACACAATCACAGGGATCGGTCCTAAACTGGCAGTCAGACACCCCCTAGGGATCCCAGATTGGAGAGGGTGCAGGCTGGGCTGAGGGATCCCTCCCCTCTCCCCAGTGCATGAATTTCATGCACCAGGCCTCTAGTTTGACAATAAAAAGAAACGAATATCGGTACATGGCACAATATAAATTAATCTTTAAAATATTATGCTAAAGAAAGAAACTAGTCACAAAGTACCATATATTATACAACCCCATTTATATGAAATGTCCAGGATAGGCAAATCCATAGGGACAGAAAGAAGATTGACTGGTGCTTGCCTATGGCAGGAGGTTGGGAGGGAGGGAGAGTGGCTCCCAGTGGATGAGTTTCTTGTTAGGATGGCAAAGGGGTTCTGAAATGAGAAGGGGGTGATAGTTGCACAACTCAGTGAATATACTAAAAACCATTCACCTGTACCGAGTAAATGGGTGAAATGTATGATATGTGAATTATATCTCAAATGACTTAAAAAAAATCTAAACATAACCACTAAACCTATTAGTAGGAAACATGAAGAGAACACTTTTGTAATCTCTGAGTGAGGACGGCCTGTTCATGGAGGAAATGACGGAGGGGAAGGCTGTGCTACCAGGGGCGGTGACACTGCTGTGGGTGAGAAAGGGACTGTGTGGGACAGGTGGCCTGAAGCAAGCCCGTCGAACACGTGCCTGGCGGTAAGGACATGGATAGAGCAGCACCAAACACCAAGCTGGACGGGAACAGTACGATGAATCGCCCTGTGCACTCAGAGAAGCAGTGACCCGTTTATATTTTCTACATTTGGCCATTTATCTGCTGACTCACACCTGCACAAAAGGGCTAACTTTTACGACTAAATGACTTAATTGTATACTTCCATGGATTCACATTTTCAAAAAGACAGAGAATAGAGAAAGAGTATCTTACTTTGGGATTCAAGTCAAAGAAGGTGTAGTATTTAAATCGTAACAGCAGCTGCTCATCCTCCTGGATGCCCTGCTCCATGAGGGAACGTGAGGAGTCCAGCCAACTGCAAAACAGCAGGATGTTATAAAAGCCGATCAGCTTTATACATGTATGTTACAGCATTATAGAATACGTTTACATGTTATCCATGCTATGTGTAATATATGCATCATGTAATGTATGTTATATATACTTACATCATATACACATGCATACACATATCTCCTTGAACAAAATCTGAATAATATGACCAAAAACCAGTAAGGGAGAGGACTTGAAACTAGCTTATATCTATATTTTATCTTATAGCTTTCCCAATGCTATGTATCTGTGTGTATATATATATATATATATTTAGATTTTATTTATTTATTTATTTATTTATTTATTTATTTATTTATTTATCTCATTGACACTTTAAAGTAACCCAGTGAAAAAGCCTGAGCAGTTTTCACTTTCTCAGTTTTATAGATGATAAAGCAGTCTCAGTGACATTCAGTGATATGCTAAATTAAGGTCCTGCGTCTCGTGGTGGAGCCAGAATGAGAATCTGCACTTGCTGACTGCCCGCACAGCCTCTCCCCTACCCCAGGTGACTGCCCGCACAGCCTCTCCCCTACCCCAGGTGACTGCCCGCACAGCCTCTCCCCTACCCCAGGTGACTGCCCGCACAGCCTCTCCCCTACCCCAGGTGACTGCCCGCACAGCCTCTCCCCTACCCCAGGTGGTCTGACCCAAAGCTGGCTCTATCTTATTGTCTAGAACTTTCTGTAATTACAACAACATTCTGTATGGCCCTGTCCAATAGAGTAGCCACTAGCCACATGTGGCTACTGAAGATTTACATGTGGCTAGTGCCACATTTCAATTTTAATTAAATTCAAACTTAGATGTAAATATCCACATGTGGCTAGTGGCTCCTATACTAGATAGTTTAGTCCTACACACACAATGGGTAATGGTGAGAGGTGGAGGGATGGAGATTAAACATTAACCACAAAACCAAGTGGGCATGAATGTAACACTGAATGAAAATGGCTTGAACTTTTATTAAATTAGCCCCCAAGATGCAATCTCCAGCCCAAAGGTCTTGGTCCAGGGGGAGAGACCATGCCTTCTAATAAAGGAAGAGAGTGACGCTGGGCAAGCCAAGTATGAGAACAGAGCTATAGAGAAGTGACCGATCTTGAATGGTGACATCTACAAAGGAGAGAGTGTGTGACTGGGCCTTAAAGGATAAGCAGGGGCTGACTGGAGAGCAGGAGAGGAGGAGAGTCCTGGGGTGCACCATGGGGGCGGGGTACACAGTAGGACAGGAAGACAGTGCTGGGCCAGATAGCACAGGCAGTGGAATGCTGCCCACAAAGCTGATTTTATCTGGTGAACAATGGGGAGTGAAAAGAACCAGTGGTCTGAGACGTAGTTTGAGTGTGTCTTCTGAGCCCATTTGAAGCAAAACTGAAGGACTTGCTCTACTAAGTTCTACAAGTTTTCTAATTCATCAGAAACATAATACATGCAATTAACATGATGAGCTATAATGCCTGAGGAGAGAAGCGGCATTCTACAAGGCAATATGGGCAGGTCCCCGCTTGGGTCTCCCCCCTGACCCAGGGTTCCAACCCACTTAGGAACTGCTCGACCTCCCATAAAATACACTTTGCATACTTCAGGGGGAAAGAATTCCTATTCACATATGGTAAACCATTGGGTTACCCAAACACATAAGGGACGTCACACTTTATATGTACTGAAATGACCAAAGGCCTTATTTTTTCCTTTCTGTTGCTACAATCAGTCCTGACTTTTGCTAACGGTGTGCAATCCCCGGGCTCTCTAATTTAAAAAATAAACAACCTCTCCCCATCTCGGTGGCATCTCTCTTACCACGCCAGTGTCAGTTCACAGAGAAGCGACATGGAGCCACATCCTTACCCTGCGTTAAGCTTGGTTTTATCGACCAGAGACCGAGACTGGTACATCTCAGCCAGCGCCTCCGGGGACCGTGGGGGTTGGCTGAAGGCGAGGATGTTGCAGTTTTGTTCGGTCAAAGGGCTGTCACTGAACCACGTCATGGTGGATGACACCGGCGTTCCGTTGACGGGGTCATACGTGGGAGTCATGGTTTTACTGTACAAGCCGGGACTTACTATAAGGCAAAGGGGAACACACACTAGGATATGAGATTCAGGGAGCAGAAACGTCTGGGAAAATATAAGTACACATTGATGACACTGAAATAGGTTTTGAATTTACATAGTTGTAACATTTAAAATAATCAGAGAAGTCATGACCGATGGGGGAGGAGTTATACACAGGTAAAGCGCTTGCCTGAAGGGTTAGCTACTGAGAAATTGGGAACTGACAGGCTGCAAAAGCTTCCACAGTCAACCCACGTAAGTGTGGGAGACTACATCCTCCTCAACAATTCAAAATTCCTCTGCTTTAGCTGTGAGTTTTCACGCTATTAGAGAACCAGAGATCTCACAGAATGTATGAACAGACTAGATTTTGGGCAAGTTCTTTAAAGAAATAGCAGCACTTGCCAATTTTAAGAACCCAGCTAATTAATGGTCTATATATCATCTGCCTTTATGTTGCATATGAAAAATGCAAATAGTTCCTTTTATTCTTTGCACTGGAATATACTATGTAAGCAAACCCTCAAATGTTGGAAACAAGCCAGCTTCTTATATTTTTATATAAAAAGAAAAGAATGAAGCCTTTCTAGAATTTTTACCTTTACATGTCCAGTGCAAAATTTAAATGGGATTCATAAAAAAATCACATGAAGATTGCACTAGGAAAACAGAAGTATATTTGAGTGATCCAAATAATCTGTTTCCTCCCTCAAATTCACAGCCAGTTCTACTACATAATACATGCAATTAACATAATGAGCTATAAAGCATATCTTGTCAAAAAAAATTCTGTTAGTTCTAAAATTAATTGGATATCCTTTCCTCATCAAAGGACTCTTGCAATTTTAGCCCTTCTTTGTTTGGAGGAAAAAGGAGAAGGGAGGGACGAGAAGAAAGAGCAGAGGGGAGGAGAGTTCCTGGGATGTAAAAATTGAAGTAACTCTTGTCCTGGCTGGTTTGCTCAGTGGTTAGAGAGTTGGCTCGAGGACCTAAGGGCCTCAGGTTCAATTCCCAGGACAGGAGTGGGAGGCAACCAATCAATGTGTCTCTCTCCCATCGATGTTTCTCTCTCACTCTGTTTCTTTCTCTCTTTCCCTCCTACCCCTCCCTCTTTCCTCCATCCCTTCAACTATGTCTAAAAATCAATGAAAAAAATAATCTTGAGTGAGGATTAAAAAAATAAAAATAAAAAACTCTTGGCTTTCAGAATAAATTAAAACAACAAAGCACCTGTCACAGTTCTTACCTGGTGGCCCAGAAGTTGTTGGAGAACTCTCCAGGTTTAAAACATCTTCAATTAAGGGCTCCTTATTATTCTTGTCTTTCTTCTTCTTCTTTTTAAAATAGTCACTAGAAGGTTTCAACAAGGAAAGTTCTTCTGGTCTCCTAATATCTAACAAATAAGTATAAAAAAGAAATAAGAAAAACTGAAAACAAAACAAACAAACAAACAAAAAAACCTGTTGGGCACTTGAAACCATTTCTCAGGAAATTCCGGAGAAGTAATAGAACTATCGATAGATTGCACTCCTTTTTAAAGAAACAGAAAGAAATGAGACACCCGCCCCCCAAAACCTATAAGGGTACAGGGAGGTCAAATCGTTGAGGGAGATTCAATCTAGTAAAAATTCCATTTTCTTTTTTGATTTATTGTGAAAATATTTCAAATGTATCTAAAGCAAAGGGAATAGTATAATGGTCCATCCATGGATTCATCACCCAACCTCAACTAGAATTTTGCTATTCTTATGTCACCTACTTATCACCAATTTCCCCTCCCTCCTTTCGTTGCTTCCTTCCTTCTTTCTCCCCTTCCTTTCTCCGCTCTGCCCTCCCTCTCTCTTCCTCCTTATCTTTTTATTCAGTTTTTTAAACAACAGCCGAGGGCCCCACCTTTTTTCTTCATGGATCACAGTCCCAAAAGGCCCTTTTCTTACACGATGCCCAGCTGCCACTTTCATCCCGGTGGCAGACATCCTTGGCACCTGCCCACCTCTTCTTGGCCTCACCCTTTCAGTGCACTCTGACCTGACTACTAACGGCAGCTGGGGACATGTGTCTGCCCATGGGCTTGCTCTGAACACCGGAGGCTACACTGCTCAGATACAGTGCAACGAGCCACAGAGTTCAGAGAATGAAAGCTCTCCAAGAGCAGCCCCGGTGACTGGTGCGTGGCGTGTTAACACCCAGCTGCCTCGGCCCTTGGGTGGGATGGCTCTGAGGCATGTCTCTGCTGGGACAGTCTCTCTCTCTCTCCTCTCTCTCTCTCTCTCTAAAGTAGAGAGGCAGTTCCATTTTATTTTATTTTTTAAAATATATTTTATTGATTTTTCACAGAGAAGAAGGGAGAGGGACAGAGAGCTAGAAACATCAATGAGAGAGAATCATCGACCAGCCGCCTCCTGTACACCCCCAATTGGAAATGTGCCCGCAATCAATGTACATGCCCTTGACTGGAATCGAACCTGGGACCTTTCAGTCCGCAGACCGACGCTCTCTCCACTGAGCCAAACCGGTTTCGGCTGGGACAATCTCTTATTGGTGGCCTTCTCTGACTAGTCTCATGTCTCCATTCGTAATCAGTGTTTCCCATCTCCCCTTTTACACCCCCTCTCCCCCAAATAAACAGATATTTGCACTGGAATCCTTAACTCAGGGTCTGCTTCTGCAGAACTGAAACTAAGAAGGTTATCCCATTTCCCTCCATTAATGAAATACATTTATCATTGCCGTTAACCGCACTGAGCTGCTTCGACCCCAGCGAAAAGCCAGGGGATGTAATGTCAGTCTCTGGGCAGCTCTCCCAGAGGTAAGTGAACTGATTCCTCCCACTTCTCAGTTCAAACGCTGCTTCGTGCTGAGGCTGAGGCTGGTAGTTCAGCTCGATTCTCTCCCCAGTAACCAAGGATGTCTGATCATCAGGATGCAGCATGCACCTGTGACCACTTGAAATGCATAAGTTATACACAAAACCTAGAGATGAATCAAGATGCCCAGTGGTAAACATTAGAAACAAAACAAAACACCAAATCAAAACAAACAAACCGAATCTCCAAGCCTAATTATTTGCCTTTTCTTTTCCTTGAGGGAAAACCCTCCATTTTGGTGAATTTTATCTACCTTCTATTGATCAGTTAGAAAGAAGTTAGTAAGCCGGGACCGGTTTGGCTCAATGGATAGAGCGTCGGCTTGGGGACTGGGGGGACCCGGGTTCGATTCCGGTCAAGGGCATGTACCGTGGTTGCGGGCATATCCCCAGTAGGGGGTGTGCAAGAGGAGGCTGATCGATGACTCTCTCTCATCGATGTTTCTAACTCTCTATCTCTCTCCCTCCTCTCTGTACAAAATCAATAAAATATATTAAAAAAAAAAAAAAGAAAAAAAGAAAAAAGAAAGAAAGAAGTTAGTAAAAATGCCAGTTGGGCCTTTTAGAACCACCACGAAGATGTATAATCTGGAAAAGAGAAGAACATCTGACGGTTTCCATTTACTTCAAAACCTCAAGTGTTTGGTTCCAGGTATGATGTGTGCTTCCAGTCTCCTGTGAAATTTGGTCTAATTTAATCATTCATTAAGTCCCACAAAAAGGAAATGATTTTCAAATCCTCAATAGAATGTTACTGAAAACAAGGTGCCTGGTGTTTGCCACTTGCTCACCATGCAGCAGGGGCACTATGGAACTTTTTTCTTTTCTTTTCTTTTCTTTCTTTCTTTTTTTTTTAATTGATTTTTTACAGGGAGGAAGAGAGAGAGATAGAGAGCTAGAAACGTCAATGAGAGAGAAACATCGACCAGCTGCCTCTTGCACACCCACTACTGGGGATGTGCCCGCAACCAATGTACATGCCCTTGACCGGAATCAAACCTGGGACCTTTCAGTCCGCAGACCGATGCTCTACCACTGAGCCAAACCGGTTTCGGCTAGAACTTATATTTCTTAATGGGAGGTTCCATTCGCTTGTCACTCACATTATTCAACAGCTAATGTGTGCAGACATTGTGCTGGGCGTGCTCAAAAAAATAAAAAAAAAATAAAAATAAAGGTTTCTCTCTTCATCCTGTTAAATACCATACCAGCCTCCAATGCCCAATACTGGCATTCCCAAGCCTATATATACTATTATACTTTTTCCTTTCCCCCTGCTATTTCCTTTTAACATCTTACTTTTTACATTTATTATTTATTTTCTGATTCTGTAAGCTAAAATGTAAGCTTCAGGAGGGAAGAGATTTTGGGCTACTTTTCATGACTTACCTATCCTTAGCATTCACCACAATGCTTGCCTAATTAATGCATGTTTGTTGAAGGAATGAATGAGCAGTTGATAGCTTCCTGGGGAAGACAGATCACTCATGTATACATTGTATAGATTGTTTTCAAATGCTGCATCTTAGCCTTGGGACAAAGGAATTTACCTATACCCTTTAAAAAAAAAATCTCTCTCTATAAAACCCTAAGTGACCGGGTGACCGCTTGACCAGTCGCTATGATGCGCACTGACCTTTAGGGGGCAGACACCCAACGAAGGAGCTGCCCCCTGGTGGTCATTGTGCTCCCACAGTGGGAGCACCACTCTGCTGACTGGTGCCAGATGCCAGGCTCACAGCTGGCGAGCACAGCTGTGGTGGCTCAAGCCTCTCCTGCCTCCGTGGCAGTGGCAGCAGGCACAGTGGGGCCAGGATGAGCAGGAGTGGTGTGGCACCGGGCCGGGCTTGAGCTCCTCCCCCGCCACTTGCCACTTCACTCACTACTACACCCCTTGGGGGATGTTGGACTGCTAGATTGGCTGAAACCAGAGGTGTCCCGGATTGTGAGAGAGCACAGGGCCAGGCTAAGGGACACCAATGGTGCACGAATCCTTGCACAGGGCCTCTAGTATAAAATAAGAACACCCTCACAAGGCAAGGTTTACTACCACTAAGGAAGTCCCACAAAAAAAGAAAGGGTTTGGGTGATTGGATGATGCTGTCCTTAATGGCTGTTAAACTTATGTTATGGTATCCATTTAAAAAAAAAATTATTGATTTTTTACAGAGAGGAAGAGAGAGGGATAGAGAGTTAGAAACATCGATGAGAGAGAATCATCGATCAGCTGCCTCTTGTACACTCCCTTCTGGGGATGTGCCTGCAACCAAGGTACATGCCCTTGACCGGAATCAAACCTGGGACCTTTCAGCCCGCAGGCTGACACTCTATCTACTGAGCCAAACCGGTTTTGGCAATGGTATCCATTTGTTTCAATTTATAATTAAGTGTACTTTTTTGCATAGGGTTTTTGTGGATAGGGCTATTGGAGCCAAGTGTTAGAGAAGCAATGAAGACATTATTCCACCATCCTCTCAAAACTAATAAGGGTGCATTGGCTCCAAGGTGATAATGATTTAATGGAACTCTGTTTTTGTTTGTCTTAAATATAATGATGATTTACTCTGGCTAAGAGAAATGAATTTGGGGGATTGTAATGGGTTTCTTTCTTCTGAGTATAAATCTCTTTTGAAGCAGTGTTAAGTTTTGTGGAAATGAATCTAAAGTATCTCAATAATGTCCCAGTGGGATTAACTCCACTTCAGTGGCTCACATCCTCAGAACTGGGTTTGAAAAGTGCTTCCTAAGGAGGGCAGTACTCTGGAAAGCCAGCCACTCGAGGCAGGCAGGGAGCACATGGCATTTTCCTGCCCTCCTTGGCCAAAAGTCCAAAGGGCATCGGGGCCCCTCCTGGGTACTCACTCAGGGCTTTGCAGATATCACTGACCGCTTTAAACACCACAGCCGAGAAGCTGACTCGCAATCTCACCGTCTTCACGTTGGGCAGGCGCAGGCGAAGCATTTTGTGCTGAGGGGTGAAGACAAGCTTTGCATCTGCCTGGACTCCGCATTTGTCCAGGGTCCAGTGCGTTTTCAGGAGCCAGCAACACTTTTGTTCCCACCAAAGGGCAAAGTCTGACCAGTCTTGGGCTATGTCTGCAAAGATAGAAAACACAGCGAAGTAAAATGAGAGGGAGGGCACTCCAGACAATCCCACGTGTGCAGAAATGGAAACCAAAGGGCCGGTCTTCAGCGCCCCATCTCCCGGTGGAACCCAAGGCTCAACAATTTTTGGCTTCTCCTCAAAGAGTCTAAGGCGGGACAGGTAGAAAACAGACTGAATCTTACTATCACTGATACTTAAAAATACCGTGGAAGGAGCAGAAATACACAAATTCTGTTCATATTGAAATGCTGAAGTTCTCTTCCTTCAATCTCCCAGTGCCATGGATGGTCCCTTCTGGGAAGGCCAGGAGCACTTTGCTTTGTTTAATCAAGATAATTTCTCCACTTGACATGCATCCTTCTCCCTTGCCCCTCATCACAAGGGAATATCCACAGTGCCCAATCAGAGCCCGCATGGAAGTTGTATAAAGCTGACACGCCACTCGTCTCAGTAATGCCCAGCTCTTTTAGCAGAACCGTCATATTCCCAGTTTCCAAAGTGTCTACACTGACATCAGAGCTGAATATTTTCTGAGTGTTAGCATCAACATGGAAACTGCCCCTTTCTTCAATTTTGGCATCCAAGTTGAATCGTTTCCCCACATCAATGTTGGAGTCAATAGTCAGTGTTTAATTTGCTAACTGAAGAGCCACCTGTGTTGTTATTTACTTTGTAAAAATTGATTTCTCTCTCTTTCCCTCTCTCTTTTTAACTTAGTGGCTACCTTTGGCGGGGCAGTGACAAGGAGGGGGTCAGGTGCGGGACTGGGGTGGGGGAACAAGTAATGTTCTATTTCTTGACCTGTGTGGTGGTTACATGACTTTGAAAATTCAGTGAACTTCCTTTCTCTAGTGTCAACGAAGAGCCCACAACCATGGCCTTAGAAGATAAAAATAAATACAAAGCAAACAGAACATTATTAAGCTCTAGGTTGATCGTGTTGACTCCTGATGTGAAACTCGGACCCTGAGGATTTCTCTTTCTCTGTTTCAGAAGAGAGAGTAGCAGATGGTGGACATGTGTGAAAAGACAAATTAGCACCAAGTTGACTTTATCACTGAGCAATCAGGCATTAACAGGAGTCCAGCACCTTTGAAAAAGCCTGCGGTCACCCTAGATATCACTGGTAGAATGGGCTCATTCCTGTGGAAATATGGCATTTTATCTACTCGGAAGCTTTAGTTTGTCACCAGGGACTCAGATTTTTACAAGGGATGTTTGGAGCGGGTTAGTTTGAGATTCTTGTAGGGCTCCTTAGTTCTCTTCTTCTTGGGGGAAGGGTGCTTGCTTTCTGGGCCATAACCAAATAAATGATCAGAAAAATGTAGGTGATCAGACAACTTAGATCAGTGATGATGCAACAGAGAGGGTTTCAAATGTAGAGACTCCAGAACAAAACAGGAACTTACTGATCTGTTCTACTAACTTGAGCATCACTCCCCCAATGTGCAGGTCTCCGGACACTCTCAGAGTGACGTCCCTCTGCTCCTCTTCATCTGGATGGTCCACTCGGACCACGAGCTCCCAAGAAGCAGATGCAAAGTCATTGGCTGAGAGCATCGTGGCAAATGCAGGTGTCTGCTGACAGAGATCAGAACATGAGAAGGAGACCCTGCAGAGCAAAATGTTTTTATGCTTATTTTTTATGTTGGCCTCATCTTGAAAAAAAAAATCTGCAGCATTCTCAGTACCCCAGGTATTAAATTCCACATCTTAATTTTAAAGACAAGAAAGTATTATGCCAAGGGTCTCAAGCCTTCTAAATTTATCTTTCATTTCTCCCAAGACCACTTGGCTTTTTATTTTCTGTGCCTGCCCAATGCGTCAACCTTCATTTTCCCTCTCTACTGACTTTTCTTGACCTTCTCTGAACTATTCTAGTAACCTGCAACAAGTCATGGCAATCCTTGATGATACCTTTAAAAAGAATCCATTTTATTAAGTATAATTTGCATACAATAAAACACACAGATTTTAAATGTACCATTGAATACATTTTGTTGTATGAAAATTATACCTTAATAAAGCTGATTTTAAAAGGATGCCATTAAAATCTTTATGCATTATTATATTCCTCCTATAAATATTACATTATTATATTCCTCCTATAAATATTAATGACATCTTCCAGTATGAAAATTAAAAAACTAAAAATATAGCAAAATAGTGTCTATTTCAGCTAAGCAGTCTCAAGGGGGTAATTAGGAACACTGGAATGCAGTTTTGGCAGAACTGAAAATATTAGCTCTCTGTTAGTTTTAAGTATGTTTTTATTGATCTTAGGAAAGAGGAAGGGAGAGGGAGAGAGATAGAAACATCAATGATAAAAGAGAAACACCAGTTAGCTGCCTCCTCCGCACCCCCTACTGGGGATAAAGCCCACAACCTAGACATAAGCTCTGACCGGGAACCGAACCTATGACCTCTTGATTCATGGGTTGACTGGCTCAACCACTGAGCCACATTGGCTGGGCTCTCTGTTACTTGTAAACAGAAAGCGAATGATAATATGTCTCCTGGCTATCTAAAGATCTTAAATCAAAATCAGTCATGTACATGATAACAAATCTTTTTCACTTGGCTAGGTAAAGACAGCTTATGAGAAATCCATGTTTTCATAAGGCCTGTTGCACTCAAATTCCTAAGAAAGGGCTGATAAAACAGAAAGTGCCCAGGAATCCCTTCTGGATCTCACGAACATGCAAGTTCTATCCAGCAGGTCTCGGTGGACCCTGCATGCATCACCAACTCTATGTGATGCCAGTCTGTGGCTCACCCTTTTGAGTTGAAACAGCTCAGTGAAACATTAGCTCCAGGTCCAGTTCCTCCCTCCACCTACCCAAATCAAGATCAAGCCAGGGACTATAGTGACCTTTGAGAAACACTGTTTTTAATAATAATAAGCAATAATTAATCCACCAGGGTCACACCGGTTTGGTGTTTATTTGAAACTGCTCATAATTGTAAGCCTCAGAGAACCTCGAAATACACAACGCAATTCTGAATAGGCACAGGACAGATTTTTATTTGTTTGAATCAATTCAGAAGTTCAGAAGTAGCTCCTACTGTTTTTATGACCAGAAGGATGCCAGTGATATAATAATGCTTGCTCCTCCCAGAGCAGATACTCGCATATGCAGACCCCCTGCTGGGGCACTGCCCTGCCGTGGGTATATCAGTCTTAACTACCCCCTTCCTCCTCATCAGCCTCAAGTACTGCTTATTATATGCTTACTGGGTGGTGTATTCTGTGTTAACTACTATTCTTGTGTTGTCTCCGCCCTGTCAGCAATCCCATTTAGAAACGAGGAAACCCGGGATCCGAGAAGCTAGGCAACGTGCCAGAAAGCACACAGCGAGTTAGATGGTAGAGCACAGACAAAAATCTACGTCTTTCTAACTTTAAACTCTTAACCACTACCCTGGGACACATCCTTGATACTGCTGCGACACCAATATGAAATAAAACTCTTAAGAACACGTGAGCTAAACTCTCCGTAGCCTTTACTCAGCATTTCTTCTCACCTAAATATTTATTCCCCAGTGAGGAGACAAGCCAGATATCACCTTCACAGACAAACTCATATCAGGGCATTGAGCGGTTTGACGTTAACAGCTTTACAATTTCTAAAATGCTATGACTTGGAGTTTAGTTATTTAAAAACGTTTTGTCCATAAAGAAAACAACCTTTCTTTTAAGGCGAGTCCATGAGCAATCACACATAAAGGTCTTTTCTTTTCTTACCTGGGCAATCAAAAACACTTCGCATTGAGGCAACAGATGGTGCGATTCCCTCACAACAAACCCAGGCTAAAATTAGACAATCTGGTTTTCCCACATTCCTACCCTATCTTCCCGCGCCTTCATTTTTACTGAATTTCTCATCTGCAGCAAGCTGCTACTTGTGGAGCGGAGCAGCCAACTTCAGCCGTGAAAGGGCATCTTTGAGACCAGAACAAGAGGCAAGGCCACCTGCAGAAGTGCCTGCTGAGGTGCAGCCCAGCTGCCTACCTCCTCCTGTCCTCCAGAGAAAACGCAGGAACGAAAGTGAGACGAGGGACAAGGGGGGTAGGCAGAAACAAACAAACAAACAAACAAACAAACAAACAAAGAAAACAAGGAAGGCAGACAGACCAGAAAACGAGACAAAGGATAATAGATTGATTAGACAGACAGATGATAGATAGGTAGAGAGAGCCTCCATGCTCCCCGTGGAAGATCAGAGTGTGAGTTTCGGAAGGCCTATCTTTTGTCAATTCTGCAGGGTCCGGGTCCCGGGTGGATAGTGGGTAGGTGGAAACCCCCCACCCCTTTTCAACCCCCCCCCCCCCCCCACACACACACACACCATGAAGGCAGCACCCGGGCTGGACAGTTTACTTTGCGTGGCGCGCTGTGCCAGGCTGCAGAAGGTTGCCGCACCCCAAGGACCTTATTTTTAATTCAACAGCCATTGAAGTGAAAGCGCGCTGGAGAGAGTAGGGGGCCAGGGGTCCGAGGGATCGGCGTGGCCCACCCTCCCCTCTCCACCGACCTCCCGCCCTCTCTCGCCCCAGACCCTGGGCACCCACCTTCTTCCTCGGAGCCAGCGGCGTGCAGCCCGGCAGACCCGCACGTGGAGGGGGCGCCCCTAGAGGCCGAGACAGAGGCCACCCGGGCGGAGTCGGGGGCGGGCTCCGGGGGCGCACGGCGACGGGGCGGCTGCGGCTCCGCGGGGCTGTGGCGGCCGGGGCGGCTCGCGGGCGCCGGGGGAGGATGCACGGGCCGGGGCCGCTCGCGGGCGCCGGGGGAGGCGGGCGCACGTCCCCGCCCCGCGGCCTCGGGGGCGCTGCGGCCGGCGCCCGGCGGGGCGGGCAGGCGCGGGCACGCTCAGCGCCGGGCCTGCCGGGTCTCGCTCCCGGGGGAGGAGGCGCGCTCCGCAGCCTTTTTAAGGGCAAAGGGTGGTCCAAGGGCTGCAACGCGGCGGGAGGGCGGCGGGGCTGGGGTGGTGGTGGTGGTGTGTGTGCGAAAGGGGAGCCTGGGGCACACGCTGACTCCCTGCTCCGATCAGGCCACCTTTACCCCGTCCCCCTAGACCGCTTTCCGTTCTCCCGTTCCCCGGGCTCCTTCCGGGCGAGCACAGGCTATGAAAGTCCGGCCCCACTCCCCTGCGCTCCAGGGACACCCGTCACTCCCACACCGGAGACTCCCCACCCCGGGCTGGAAACCCCCTAAGAGCGTGTGATCGCAGGTGGGAGAAACGAGAGCGGGGCGTCTCTGAGTCAGAGGGTGATGTAACCCCCCCTCCCCACCTCCCAGGAGGGTGAGGCGCACCATGGAAGACCCCGGGCACCCTAAGGGCGCGCCCCAAGCGGAAGTCTGGGGTGGCTCACCCCAGATTCACCACCCAGCCCGCCGCCGCCGGCTGGTCACCTTCCTGTCGGATTCACTTCCCCAGGGAGCAGGAAGGGTGGGTGACCTCGGGGAATTCACACAGCCTCTCCACGCCTTCTTCGTTCACGTTATACACATTGGTTGAGTGTTTATTTTGTGCCAGGCCTTGAGCTGAGAGCGCAGAGGATACTCTGTTTTGAAAGCAGACATGGAAATCACAGTGAACTCACCTTTGAAATGGGTGGAGGGATGGATGGACTTCCAATCCATGGAGAATCTCATGTGGTTTAATAACAGGCTTTCGTGATTCACATCAAGTACATAGAGCTGCCACAACGTAAATACAAATGTAAAATGTGGTGAAATTTAGAATTGGAATCTCCTTATGTTTTGCTTGTACCTCATCATAGTCATTATTGTCGTTTTGAAAGTATTTTACAAGGTTATTTGAACACCTGTCAGCACATAATGAAAATCTGAAAATGGAATTAAAAAAAATATATATATATATTTTTGGTGCAGCGTGTGCACCAAGGCAGTTGCCTTGGTGTGGAGCAGGCAGGCCCTACAGAAAGCAGAGAACCATGGGGAGAGGGCCTAAACCATCAGTAAGACATCCCCTGAGGGCTCCTGGATTGGAGAGGGTGCAGGTCAGGCTGAGGGACACCTCTCCCCACCCGCACGGATTTCGTGCACCAGGCCTCTAGTTATATATATGAAAGAGCACATATTCTGAATATACAGCTGATGAACTTTCATGTAATGAACAAATTTGTATATCGTTTTTAAAGTGTTTAATTGAAATATATGTATTTATTATATATTATACTAGAGGCTCAGTGCAGGAAATTCATGCACAGGGGTGGGGATGGGGGTGGGGGTGGGGATGGAGGTGGGGGTGGGGGTGGGGGAGAGTCCTTTAGCCCGGGCTGCACCCTTTCACAATCTGGGACCACTGGCTCCTAACTGCTCACCTGCCTGCCTGCCTCATCATCCCTAACCACTCTGCCTGCCTCGTCTCATCATCCCAAACTGCTCACCTGCCTGCCTGATTGCCCCTAACTGCCTCTACCTTGGCCCCTGCCACCGTGATTTTGTCTGGAAGGATGTCTGGAATGATGTTCAGAAAGTTGTTTGGCTGTCTGGTCTAATTAGCATAATTTTTATTTTATTATTATAGATATTTATTTATGAAAGAGCACAAATCATGAATATATAGCTGATGAATTTTTACAAACTGTGTATTGAGTGTCCAGATCAAGACACAGGACATTACCAGTCCCCAGAAGTCTAGTTCCTCTTCTAGTTACTGCCATCTCCCATCAAGAGTAACCATCATCTTGACTTCTAACTCCCTAGAAGGGTTTTGCCAATCTTTGTGCCATATATAAATGCCATCCATCGGATGACATGTATTATTTTGTGTCTGGTTTCTTTTGTTCAATGTTATGTTTTTGAATTTCATCCATATTGTGTGCTCTTGGATTTTTTTTTTTTTTTAAACTTTCTACCTGTGAAACAGGTAAAATCCATCCATTTCCTAGGGTCTCAGGTTAGAAGTAGATTAAGAAATGTATTCTGGACTTCAAAATTGCATATATATATATATATATATATATATATATACATATATATATATATGCAACACTCATCTTTTTTTTTTCATCTTAAAAAACAAGTACAACCAATACTTAGAGTCAGTTATTTAATTAATCTATACATACAAATCAAGCAATGAACTAGGTTATTTATTCACTCAGCCATTATTTTCCCATGAAATAGACAGCACACTATGCACTGAAAACGTTAAGATGAACTAGCACAGAGTTTATCTTCAGATCATAACTCTGATGCTAAGGAATTCAGAAGTGGGACATCTTCTTTCTGCAGGTGTGCGGACTGGTGAGGAGTATGACAAAAGGCTTCAGAAAGGAGGTGATTAAAAATAAAAAGATAAACCTTATTTACTTATTTATAGAAAGGAGGGAGAGGGATAGAGAAATAGAAACATCGATGGAAGAGGAGCATTGTTGATTGGCTGCCTCCTGCACACACCCCTACTGGGGACTGAGTCCACAACCTGGCCCAAATCAAACAGGTGACCTCTTGGTTCCTGGGTCAATGCTCAACTGCTGAGCCACACCAGCAGGGCAAGGAGGTGATTTTTTGAGATGGAATTTGAAGTGTTGGCGAACAGCTTGATAGTTGCCTGTAACAACCTGTAGTCTCTAGAAAACTGTTAGGTATTATTCCGTCTCAGTTAGCAGAGGTGGAGGATAAAGAGAAGCTATATTTCTTGACCTCAAAGTTTTACATGTGCAAATATTAAAACAATAACTATTATCAGATACCCATATCCTAGAAAACTGACCTGATAGTATCCTCAAAAGATAAGTTAGTCATGTTTGCATTATTATATGGGATGTGAGTAGATAGGGCTGGACAAGAGCCATAGCCATGTTCTTTATTCAATGGACAGAAAGGGGAAATAGACAAGGAGAGGGACTTGAAAGTCCCAGTTACTTTATTTGTTAAACACAAGCGACTTCCTGTAACACCTTCCCAGTTCCACTGGACGCACCCTCAGAATTTAAAAAATTCTGCATTAGAAAAAGCTTCTGGGAGGCAAAAAGAGGAGGAGTTTTTTTTTTTTTTTTTTAAATTGATGTTTTTGTTTGACAAAGCAGCATTATCCGATATAAGTTTTTAAACTGAATATTTAGCTTATAAACACACCGAAAGTTTGGCAACTAAGAAATGGCAGTGCTTGCGCTTGTGTTTGTGGAGAACATGTTGCGTTCAGTGCAAAGAAGCAGAATGTGCCTATTATAGCTCCACCCTCCTTTCCAGCTGGGTGGATAACAAGCACTTTCTATGCCGAGGCAAGTTCTATAATTTTCTGCTTGCGATGGTGGAGAGAGTGTGTCTTGATGTATCTATCCACACTAGATGAAGAGGGGTGAAGAAGAGCAAAGAAAAGTGAGAAGGCCTTGCTGGAGGCCATGGTGCTGGTGTCACCGTTGAGAATGAGAGGAGGAAAAAAAAAAAAAAAAAAAAAAGGTCTCTCTCTCCCCTCTTTCTCTCTCCTTCCTTTGCATCCATCTCCATCAAAGGGTACAAAGGATCATACCTGGTATAGGATATAAACACTGATAATTAAGTCTTCCACCTCTCTTGATTATAAAGTTTCCTTTCTTGGAGAAATCTGTCATCATTTTCCTTTGAAACCTTCCAGAGAGTTTATGCATATAGACTAATTATGCAGGGGATAGTATTTTATAGATACTATCTTGCCTTTTGCTTTTCTCACTTTAAAATACCTTGGTAATTGTAGTGGATATCAGTCATATTTGTGGCTGCCTACTATCTTTGAAAAGTCCCAGTCTTAAATCTGAGCTCCAATTCCCAAGATTTCTTATAGCCAGGACAAGGGCCTACCTCCTAGATTTTGTTGCTTAGATACACTCAGGCACGGCTTTAATTTGGAAGTGAATGAAATGTGGAGAGAGGATGTACTTAAAGTTTCTATCCAATAATCATAGGCAAGAACCACTGATGAATTTTAAAATTAGTGAGTAAAAATATGATGAGAAACAGCACATTTGTAGCCTCAAAATATCTCCCTGCTAAGTATTTGTCAATTATACAGGGAAAGATAGTAACAAGAACGTGGAGGGAAAAAAAAAAAAAAAAAAAAAAAAGAACGTGGAGGAAAATGCAGATATCACCTTAAACAAGTGATCAAAATGAACATACATCATCTGGAATAATGCATATTGACTTCACACACTTCTTGATATGAAACACTGAGAAGGACAATAGCATTACTTCCATGTTGTTCCTGCCCAAATTATATAACCTCAATTTAATTGTAAGAAAATATCAGACAAACCTATATTGGAGGACATCCTATAAAATAAAAGCCTAATATGCTAAGTGTCCAACTGATGGTTTGATTGTTCAAACAGTGGCTATGATGCACACTGACCACCAGGGGGCAGACACTCTGACCGGTAGGTTAGCTTGCTGCTGTGGTCCAGCCTATCAGGATTGGGCAAGACAGGCCTGACATGCCCTGGAGCCCTACTGCGATCCCTCCCTGGCCTCTAAAATATTTCTTCTAATTTATTTCCTTTAGTGTGCATGACTCCATGCTCCAGGCCTCTAGTTCTACAAAATAAATTTCTAATACTCATCATAAGTGTCAAGGTCATGAGAGACAGAAAAACTGAGGAACTGTCTCAGATCAGAAGAGACTAAAAGACATGAATACTAAATGCCATGTGAGATCCTGTACTGAATACTGGAACAGAGAAAGGACTTCAGTGGGAAAGTCTATGAAATTTGAATAGGGCAGTA